CTTGACATCCACCGGGTGCCTTCTGATGTGGCCACAGCGCCATCTACAAAACGAGGCTCAGATGCTCCGTGTGAAGGAACACAACACATTGCTCTGTAAGCAGTTCCTAGCAGGGTGTCACAAACGCCTGCTTGCAGCAGAGCCCTCGCCAATGCACGTCAGGAGGCATCTATACAAACTGAAGGACGAAGTGCAGAAGTTCATGCAACAACCTCTGGAGCCGACAGCATACCGACAGGCTATAAACGGCATTCGAAGACAGTCGGTCTCGACTTACCCCGAATCCGTACCTGTGAATGCCGTTTTGGAAACACAACCACCTGACGTGGGCGAGACAGAGCTTCGTCTGCCTCGGGAAACTCGCATCAAAATAGCTCAACTTCGCTCTGACTACTGTAGCAAGCTAAAGCGGGGAGACACCCCACGACTCGAGACATATCTAAAGCCCACTCAGCTAACATCTATGTCCTTATGGGCAATCCCAATCGAAGTTACACGCTTCATGGGTCTCCCGTTAGTTGAGAGCTTGACGACAACAATTGAGGGACAAGACGATCTAGGCAGGGACGCTGCAACAACAATCGACTTTAATTCTCATATAAAAATTTAAGATTACCGTTGATTTCTTCATGATGCAATGATCGGATCTAAACGACATTGGTATGGGACCACCTCTGAGGTGCCGCCTTTAAAAATAGCACTGTCGAAACCTTAGAAAAATTGCCTTTCCCCTCTCTCACCCCTAGGGACCCATTCAAAAATGGAGTGAAATTAGAGTTTTGACAGAGAAAATGAAAACTCTGGTTACGAAATCCAACTCCAGATACGCTGACCACAGTTTTTTTGGGCAGAACATCTTTCCGCTTTGGTATTAAAAGAATTATAGAAATCGGTTAACGTGGTTCAAAGTTATGCTGTTACAGCATAAAAAAAAAAATCCGACGAATTCATAACCTCCTCTTTTTTTAGAGTCGGTTAAAAATTCCAATATTAAAAACAGTTTTTCTCTCGGCTACGAAACGCTTCTGAGAAAGCTTGCTGTATGAACACTCTGTTACCAGGGCTACAGCAGCCCTGTGCCAAATGCAATACCACGTATAAGATAGTCCGAAAATTTCGCAAAAGAGCGAAGAAACTTATTTTCTTCAAAAGGTTTGAATGGTTTGCTAACTAATCTTACTAAATTTGAGCTTCTACTATAATTATTTACTACTAAATTTGAGAGGTAGGGAAGCATTAAGACCAAAATGAATCTTTTTCCACGACACCTCATACCTTGTATTGCATTTGGCGGATGCCAAGTATTGCGAGCCAAGCGACGATATGTACATACTAAAATATTCAGAAGGCTAAGTGGTTAATAAAACTCGTCCGGCGTTCTCGCTATCAAATACACAGATTACAAAAAGTTTCTGCATATTGCTCCAGACCTGTATATCCCTATTGTATTCGACGCGCTGAACCCGAATCCGAGGTCCGTGAACCTCCTTCGAGGTCATTCGGTGTTCTCACGACAGTCGGGTCTACGTAACCGGACCCAGATTTGTATCTGGGCAAGGACTGCCACTCCGGCAACACTCCCCAAAAACTATTTGTTGAATTTTTATGCTGTTACAACAACAACAACAACAATTCGTATTCGCATTCGTATTCAGGGCGTTGAATAACAGCGGGATATAAAGATTTGGTTCAATATGCTGTTCAATAAGAGTGAAAAATTTCGCTAAACGATAACAGTAATACGATTTTATGAAAACCAAAAAAAAAATAAATTCATTCAATTTTCGTTAAGTTGAAAATAAATTGAGTTCGAATTTAACTTTATGTACAAATTATACTCTTAAAGCCACATATTCGGACAAAAGTTTACGATTTTGACGAAATTTTTATGGTAGGTAGTACGTATGGACACCTATGAATCCTGTAAATTTTAAGAAAATAAAAGTTAGCCCCTTTTTGAGGAAAATATTTTTTTTTTGTGGTTTCATTGTTTATCAAAATGTTTCACTTTTATTGATCAATATAAAAGAAAATTTAAAAAATGACGACAAATAACCTTATGAGCAACTAAATAGCTTAAAAATTACGAATACTACAAGGTTTACAAAAAACTTCCGCAAAAAATTATTATTTGTTGACAAAATCTTAAAAAATGCAAAAGTAACGCTATGAAAGTTTAAAAAAATACGTGATCATTTATTTTTCAAGCAGAAAAACGTTTGTAATAGTAATTTATTGTAAATTTCAAAATGGCACATTATGACTATGCCGTTGTTGCGCTTCAATGCAAGTGATTTATTTTGCTTTGGAAAATGGACGTTCATGTTTGTGGCTAATTTAAATTATTATCACCAAGTTAGTCACTAACTTTGGTACATACGCATGTAAATAAACACATACAGATGTACATATATATAAAATAACTATACATATCAAATGTACATACATACAACATACAAATGTTTGCATGAATGTTTTGCATATTTTAAGTATAATCGCTTGTGGGTTTTATACATTGCGTACATGTGCACTAGCGTGCATACTTATTGGTTTACATGTACATGTTACAAAAAACAGCAGATGCCGTTAATTACGTATATGAATGATAAGGAATTTTTTTCAATTTTTTTTTACAATTATATGTATATGTGGGCCGAAATCCGCTGTTTTTAGAATTCTGATTGGTAATAGCAATAAATATAGTTAAAAAAAAAACTAAAAAACACGCTTTTAAAGCATATCAAACTAAAAAGTAAAAAATAATTCTTAATATAAGTTGAAAATAATAATGAACAAAAAATACTAGTATTATTGTGAAAAAGCGTGGGGCGCTCTTTGCCATATTTTTCGTCTATTGCGCAACCCAAACTTTTTCACAATAATACTAGTATTTTTATACCCGAGCGCACTTGTGCACAAGGGTATTATAACTTTGTTTGTTCATTATTATTTTCAACTTATATAAGAATTATTTTTTACTTTTTAGTTTGATATGCTTTAAAAGCGTGTTTTTTAGTTTTTTAAACTATATTTATTTTTTAATTTTTTGTTTGATATGCTTTAAAAGCGTGTTTTTTTAGTTTTTTTAAACTATATTTATTTTGCTAGAGCATTGACTTCAGCCAACTCTAAAGTACATACATACATATGTACCACCTGTCTAGAATGTGGTAACCGGGTAGTACTCGGAGACTTCAATGTACAGCACGAACCCTGGCTTTCTAATCTGGGCAGCCACAAACTGAGCATCAGACACCCTGCACATACCACTCAGCATAGGTTAGGATCCGTTATCGGATCATTACATTATTATTATCATTATTACAGCTCATCGTTCCATCGTCGTCTGTATTCGCAATCGGCAACGCAAAAAGGCCCGTAAATGTTTCGCCAGAAACTTTCTCCCGAAAGCTAAGCCGCCGCATCAGATGTATTCATTGTCCATCTCTTTTTAACTTCCTAGCACATAATCATATAAGTTGTTTATACCTAGGCAAAAACCGCATTAACAAAATACCGATTTGGTTCAACGCATATTTCTTTCAAACGTTTATTCCTCAGTCTTTGTAGCGCACTCGATGAAACCGTATTCAAAAAAAAAAAAATCTTTTGGTTTATGAGCATATAACAGTAATAAAAGAACACAGGCAATGCGTTTTCAATTACTCTGTACAGATTTTAGAATCAGTATTGAATATTAATTACGTCTCCCTCGTATAGTTGTTCGACGAAAACGTAGAGCAAACCACCCAGCCGCACCGCTGAGAGAATACTTTCCACGTTCTCTTCTTTATATATATTATATACCATACCTAGATTCCATACCTAGATTCCTTGATAACATCATTGAGAATAAGATTCAAAGAAGCAAACTAGCCAGCGTTTAATTTATCGCTATTATTGAGCTCTGAACACATCGAAAACGACATCACCGCACGACACGACATCAAGGTTTTATCTACATAATCTAAACGCCTTGTCGATGGCGACATGAATTTTTTTATCGCGGCAGCGACATCAAGAATTTGTATGAGTTTGGCATAAAAAAAGAGGAAGAACCTTATCTGTCGCTGGAAAAGTAGAAATAGATCTAATCTGGCCACAACCACAGTCGTAGCGTAGCTCTGTCGCCGCCAAAATAATTATCTACATACGAGTACGTTTTAAAATAATTTAAAAGCTGTGGTCCGTAGCCCGTCGTTTCCAATGTATTTTGAATACGCGGTTGGCGAGCTTTTACAGACAAAACGGGTTGCAAGCGGAAGTATAGCAATGGCGTCCATTGTGACAAGAAAAACAGAACACAGATGTATGTAAACTTGATAGACTTGTATATAAACAAAAAAAAACAGAAAAATCAATAAAATTAAAATTCAATTAAAAGCATTTTCTCCACCTACATAAACTGCTGTAAACCCCTCCGTTATTGTAGCGTATACTCGACTGTACTGGGAAGAGTAACTCCCGAAGGAGACCCGGTGGTAAGGAGATTTCCTACGAATATAGCTGGTTGTCCGCTGCATCATCACAAGGGGCCTGAATATGAACCTAGGCTCTTTCACTTATCCAAACAGAAAAATATTAAAACTTCGCTTTCCCGAAATCTGAATACCTAAAACACACTTTCCCTGAATAAGTACATCCTTGAAGATTTATATATTCATCATATCGATGAAAAAGTCGATGCATTCGGGCCATCGAGACCATTTATAAACTTGCGAGGAACTTTCAAAAACAACTTAAAACCCTTTTTGCAATCTTGGAACATTTTCAATGTATTTTCGTTTGAGATAGGGCATTTGAACAGAATTCTGAGATAGGGCGTTCTACAACCAAATTCTGAAATAGGGCGTTCTTCAATCAAATTCTGAAGTAGGGCTTTCTTGAAAAGTTTTCTGAGGTAGGGCGTTTTCGAACTGGCTGCCGAGATAGGTCGATCTTCCACACAGCCATCGATATATAGTACGCATAAAACTAAATGCTCTTCTTTCTCATTGTAGGACTGATTGTTGGCGCGGTTATACGCTATGCCGGCACTTCAACACCGCTTGTGCACTTGGAAGTTGAACCAACTGGTGATCCAAAGTTTAATCAAACCTTGCCACCCGATACATTATGGATGAAGGTATGCAAACTGTTATATAGAAACAAGTAACGAATTATTTTCATCTTTACACATTTTTGCATTCTAGTTTCCTGGTAAATTGACACCAAATACCACCGACAATGAGCCAATACAGAACAAAACATATGCATATGTTTTTCGTGGTCAAGTCTACGCTGTTGATGAGAATGAAATCGATTTGAAAGCCACTTTTGACCCAGAAATTTTCTTCAACATAATACTACCGCCAATAATATTTCATGCAGGCTATAGTCTTAAAAAGGTGCGTTAAACTAAAGATGGAATGATTTTTTTTTTGCAAACATTAAAAAGATTATTTTTTCTTGCCATTTTAGAAATACTTTTTCCGCAATTTAGGCGCTATTTTGATGTTCGCCATTTTGGGCACAACATTGTCATCGTTCCTAATCGGCGCTATTATGTACGGCTGTGTGAAACTAATGCCAGAATATTTGAGTAGTAGTTTCACATTCCTGGACACGCTGTATTTTGGAGCGTTGATATCGCCAACAGATCCACTTACAATATTAGCTATATTCCACGATTTGCATGTGGACGTAAATTTATATGCGCTGGTGTTTGGTGAATCTGTACTTAATGATGCAGTGGCCATTGTGCTCAGCGGGTAATTAACCTATAATTAAATATGATAAATTTTCATTGGTAATCAAATCTATTTAATAAATATTTTACATATTTTTTTATAGCGCTATACAAAACTATGGCGAACATTACTCTAGCACAGGTGGTTTCGAAACAAATGCCTTCTTCAAAGCGCTTAGCGATTTCTTCTGCATATTCATGTTGTCGCTGTTGATTGGCGCCACAATGGGCTGTTTTACGGCATTGATATCCTTTTTTAAATAAAAATACTAGAGTTATTTCTTAGTTTATTTTTTTTTATATTTTTTTTACTTTTATTTTTTACTTTAATATATAAACCTACACAGACATAATTCCTTAACTGCCAGTGCACTTGACCAAGTTTACCCGGGTACGTGAATTCCCGCTACTGGAATCAGCTCTTTTCGTTCTCATGTCGTATAGTACTTTCCTGATTGCGGAAGCTTCTGAACTAACTGGCGTTGTGGCTGTGCTATTTTGCGGTATTTGTCAAGCGCATTATACATACAACAATCTGTCGGAGGATTCACGCACGCGCACAAAGGAAATATTTGAATTACTCAATTTCTTGGCAGAGAATTTCATATTTTCATACATTGGCGTTTCGATGTTTACCTTTCCCAAACATCATTTTGATGCTGTTTTCATAATAACCGGTTTTGTAAGTGGCACAAATACTTAAAAGTTTAAAAAAAAAAACATAACCTAATTACTTTGAACTTTAAAATTCTCAAAATTCTCTGCAACTTTGTAGGTCACCGCTGCCATTGGACGCGCAGTAAATATTTATCCGCTTTCATGGCTATTAAATTTGAATCGTAAACCGAAAATTTCTTCAAATTTTCAACACATGCTGTTCTTTGCAGGTATGAATGACACACATTGATCTAAACATTGGAATATGTATAAGTATGTTTTTGAACATTATATGCTCTTTCTTATACAGGTATGCGCGGCGCTATGTCCTTTGCTTTGGCCATACGTAATACACTTTCTGAGGCGCGTCAAACGATGTTGACTACAACCTCGTTAATTGTGATCTTTACAGTCGTCATACAGGGCGGCGCATCCAATTTTTTGCTAAATTGGCTTAAAATACCGTGAGTTTAAACTATTTAAATACGAAATGTGTGCTCAAATGAAAATCGTTTTCTTTTTTTTTTAGCGTTGGTGTCGATGAAGAGACTGAACAACTAAATAATTATCGAGTACGAAGTGTGAGTATTGCGTTTTATATTTTTATCCTATTTTGTAATTCAATAATTGGCTTGGGGTTTCATTTTATTTTTGATTTGTCTAGCATAAATGATTGTATGTAAATGAATTGCAGCTGTTTGCTTTAATGCGCCTGTGAATTTGTAATTTTTATTAAATAATTTATTATTTGAAATTATTGCTAATGTTGCAGGCGATAAGAGTTTACACTTAAAATCAAATCAAACATGAATTGAAGATACATAAATTATGTATATGGGCCGCAGTTTGTACATACTTGCTGAAGATTCATAAATAAGCATGTGGTGCCAAAAAATCGTATGGTAAAATGTTTAAAATCAAGCAACGTATTTTTTTCACCTTGAATTTTTAGCATGCAAATTAAACGAATTTAACTTATCAAAAAATTGCAAAATACAACTATAGGCAGAGAGAAAGTTTAATATAAAAGCATGGAGTGTAAGTTATAAATCATTTAGGCTATAAAATGTCAAATTAGTTCCTCTGAATCCTCAAATCACCTGAGCTCGACGGCATTCTACCAGTCGAACTGAACACCATTATGTCAACGTTAAGAGAAATTATTAGATCGGTTTTTAGACTCAACTAGTGAAATGGGCGCAGGTTAATGTTAAAAGGTGTAAAAGCATCTGAAATAAAATAATCGGTCAACCCGGACTTTTACTTTTTCATACCATTAATAACTGTTAAACTTGGCCAAATATTTTTTAAATCCGAAATAAAAATTCTTTCCTAATAATAAACCAACCGCTTATCTAAATCAAACAAAAGAAAGAGGACTGAAATAGCTTTCAAACAGAAATATCTAAATGAAGGTTTATATATATTTTTTATTTCTATATATAATACGCGAAGCAATTTTTTGTCCAGGTCATCAGATCTGCACCGTTCGTTCGATTTTCAAAAATAAAGTGTCAAATTAAAGGGATTGGCTTGTTGATGTACACAATAAGGTTTTATTCCAAAATAAAAATTATTCAAATTATTTAAAAAGTTAAACGAGTGGTTTCAATACGGGTATCCACTAAAATTGTTTAAAAATGCTAGGGTTGCCACCTGTTGAAAAAACTCGAATTCAGTTTGAACTAAGGCAATTAAAATATTTACGGTGACAGACGTGAGAACGTAGTAATTGAAAATATTTTGAAGAGCGTCGCAACCTTTTTAAAAGACGAATTTTGTTAACTTATACGCAAATTATATGTAATATTAAAATATGTATAACAAACCAAACGAGACATTTTCAAGGAATCTTTGGTTTGAACTTGGGAATCTTTGAAGAAAATTTTATTCACAATATTTAATTAGTTAAATGAATTATTAAAAGATTGGTATGTATTTAGGAGAGTTGCCGCGTGTTTAGAGAGTCAAATTCAATTTATTTCATCAGTAAAAAAATATTTAAAAAAATTTTAGTTTGAAAATACCTTTAAAGAGGGTTACCACCTGATTGAAAGTCGAATTTATTTGTCTTATACACAAGTTATATGAAATAATAAAATATGGTTTTCAAACCACAAAGTGTTAATACATATATATTTTGTTCACTTTGAACATTTGGAATATTTTTGATTACTTCAATTCAAATTATTTAATAAGTGAAATTAATAATTAGGAGATGGGTGTTAATAGAATTGAGTTTAAAACGGATTAATTTCTGAACTGTATAGAGGAGAGTTGCCACGTGTTTAAAAAATCAAATGCAACTTAATTTATCAGTTAATTGTAATATGTGTCCAAATGTCAAACGAAAGAGATTTCAAAACAATAAAGTTTGAAATTACTACCTATTTTAAAGTCGAATTTGTTTAACTTATACACAAGTTACATGTAATATTAAAATATGAGTGTCCAATAGCGTGGGCCGAAAATCCGCTTTTTTAGAATTTTGATTGGTTATGGCAAAAATATGGTTCATTATGCTCTAAAAAAAAGCTGTGTGAAATGTGAAATTTTTTGGTCAATATCCTAGGCTCGCCCAAGTCCATCAAAGTTCAATATGCTCAAAAAATGAAAATTAATAAATAAATAAATTAATTAATGTTTTGCTATTCGGCTATTTTATTATTTGCTATTTCAGTCCTTTCTCATTTGATACAAAACTTGTTTAATTTGGATAAGCGGTTTGTTTATTATAACGAAAGGCCTTTTATTTCGGAGATATTTGACCAAGTTTAACAGTTATTACTGGTCTAAAAAAAAATAAAAGTCCGGATTTTTCAGTTATTATTGGACTTTTTCCCAAAAAGTTCAAAAAATAAAGAGAATCCAGGATTCTTTATCAGGAGGTCCTGGGATTGAAAGAACATTCATATCTTTACTCTACGATAATATTTTGTAACTGACTTTTATAGGTGACAGGTAACAAGATCAACGGAAATAAGGTCAATTGACTTTATTTCGCACCTTTTCAAAAGCGAAATAAAGTCAACAAAAATTTGGAAATAAAGTCATTGACGCTATTTCCTCATTCAAATGGAAGTAGCGTCAACAATACTTAAAGTATGTCGATTCATAGAAAAAAATGTTGTTCTTGCAATAAACATTGCCACGTAAGTGTTGTTTTTTAATAGATGAAAAAGGTTATTGCCATATCCTCAGTGTGGTGCTGATAATCCACACACAATCATAAACTACCACCAATTGATTTTATTAACAAGTTTAAAATTACGAATATACTAAAAACACGATGCAAAAAACCAAACGCAAAACGCAGCTGGAATATTAAAAGAGCAATAATGTCAATGGATTTTATTTCGCTTTTGAAAAGGTAATAATGTCAATTGACTTTATTTCGCACCAGGATGGGAAATCAAGTCAATTGACCTTATTTCCGTTGATCTTATTACCTGTCACCCTTTTATAACATCTAAAAAAAAAATAACTGCTATTTTCGGTCCCTGATCATTCGTACTTAAGTCATCGTAGCGCATATTGGACACTTGCTTTAAGGAAATGGAACATTCCCCAAAAAGGTTTGTGATATGCTGATAAAGGGACAGCTCCTGGCTAGAAATATGTAGATCTGGGTTGCTCCTCGAGTGTCGAAGGAAAAGAGCGTTCGAAATTTAGCCGCCTTCCTAGATATAAGACTCTCAACCGCGTTATATAACTAAGACTTGGTAATATCCTGAATGCGTTTGTGAATAGCCTTCTCAAAGAGCGAGTAATAAATGCAGAATTAAAGTGGCATACATTTTTTCGTCGCCTCTCAACGCCAGATGAAGAGTTCCAAAAAATTTAAAAAAAAAGACTGTGTACTCCTGCATGTGAGCGATTGGCAAAAAGTTTTAGTCTGGAACACGAGATCGTTGCAGGTATCTACAATCGACTACCCACTTCCAAACCGCACTTCTTCGTATTTGGCACTACAACCGTTTGCCGTTTTGGGCCGAGTCCAAAAAACTTCGCCAGTTGCTTATCTCTTTTGCGGATTTGTCAAGATATCCCTATTTTCGCTGACCATACTGCCGACTTCAAAAGTAGTTGCTACTTGTCACCATTCCCTCAGCGAGATGACTGAGATATTTCTCATTTGTCTCCCGCATTTTTAATAAAAACTTCATGAGAATTGCAAATAAGTATAAGAAGTAGCATATAACCAACTTTTCAATTTGTCAGAGCTCTTTGGCTAACCATGAATGCTCACGTGCACAAACTCCCACATTCGCTGCAAAAGATTGTAGGTTTTTACACCTGCGGTAGCCACTGAGATATCCATAGCCGACCGCTTTTGCCTAGCTTGTCGACAATTTCGTGGCTTTTCAGCTAAAGTCGTAACTCTTTCTGCATTGTAGTACTTATGGAGCTAATTGCCTCAATCGCTGGCTACCCGTCAACATGTCAATGCTAGCTCCGACGCTAGAACTATTTTTTCGTGAGCTCAGCTTCTTTTCCTATAGATTCTTTTTTTTCATATCAACAGCATCCCAAAGTGATATTGTTTGCCCATCATGTTTATTTATTTATTTTTATGAATTTTCAAATAAAATACAGTTCATTCCTATTTTATCCCAAATGTAATACTTTATAGAAAACCAGAAAAAATTCAGCAAATTTTCATCCAAATTTCAAACTTTTCTCAGAAGTGTTGAAATGTTTTATAGCGCATTCATTTTTAGTATAATAATGTGTAGTATCAAGTGGTTAAAAATTACGGTTGATTTTTTTAGATTTTTTTTTTCTTGCCGAAGGTGCTGCGATTTTCTTCCGTAAATAAATAAATTGTGTTTATTAGTTGTATACGTAAAAATTCTAACACTTCTGAGAAAAAAGTTTGAAATTTGGAAGATTTAACCTTGGATTTAGAACGGGCTTTTAATTTAAAATTTGTTTTAAATAAATAAATAAACATACATAAGTGGCAAGCAATATCACTTTGAAATGGGGGTGCTATTGATATGATTGATACGTACATATGCACGTATTTTGCTTTAGTAAGACTATAAAATGTAATAAAAAAATGTTTTTAATGTTTACAACGAAGTTTATAATTTTTTTGCCCATAGTTGTATATACATAAATGTACAAATACTTCAATGCGTACATCTATGATTTGACAGTAATATCCTGAGGCCACACGAAATTGTGATGCTACTCTCATTATTTATAAAAAAAAAAATCGTATTTAACTTTTTAATTGCACCAATTTTAATCAGACTTTTTCGTATGTAATATTTTCTATGTAAAGTTGTGAATTATTGTATTGAATTAACTGATCGATTAATTTTCTTTATTGCAATTTGAATTCTCATATTTTTTCTATGCCTATGCCTACTGTTACTACCGCATCATCCCTACACATCCAATTAACTGCAATAATTAACGAAAATACACCAAAATACGCAAATAACATTATCAAATAAAGGTCTATAATTCAATGGAAAATACAGCGGCTGCGGTATGTGCACTAATCATTCATAAATTCATACTTATCTAAAGAAATACTATCAAAAAAGTTTACAATTGGAAATTTTACGGTTCTGTTTTTGTTGGTTTTGTGCTATGTTGTTAAACTCAATCACTTTACTCAACTCTTTTACAGCACACTTGACTGATGACTAACTTTTGGTGGTTATTCCAAACATTTACTACAAAATTATTGTGAAATTTTGACAGTTTTATTTCTTGCTTCATTTTCATTCAGTACCTAGTTTCATATTTATTTACATGTATACTTTGTGACAGGAGCTTGCGTATAGTAATTCATGTACATATTTCACATGTGGCTGAGCGAGATGATGGAACTAGTAATTAATTGGTCTCAACCGACGACTTGTATAAATGTGTTGGTGTTGGTTGATTTTTCCGACAGGGTGGTAAGATGATTTATTTGGGAACGAATTTCCGTCATCCCTTGTCAAGTTTGGTTTGCAGACAAACCGGTTTCGGTGCCATCTTCAGTGTCATTTTTCGTTCTGTATAAATATTAGAAACAAGTTTAAAAAATTTATTTTATTCAGTAATATTTTTCAAAGTCAAAAATTAAAAATAAATAATACTTAATAAAAAATAATAATAGCGTAAAAAAGCAACAAACATACTGACACACTCACTCACAAAATTTCACATTTATATTAGTAGGATGATTGCAGGGTAAAAACCAAAGTTTGCCAAAAAAAGAACTTTAATTATCAAATCATCTAAGAAAGCTGGTAAATTCGTTAAAAAACCATGTGTATGTAAATAAAAGATTTCTATCCATTCGCTCAGCTACTTATGTACATTTTATTAGTAAAAATTTAGAGAACTGTAAATTTTTGTGTTTTCATGTACAATACACCCAGTCGATCGATACGGGACTCAATTTGGGCCAGCTGCCTATGTCGCGTCGACGAAGTTCCTTGGTAAGGATACGTGCCTGTAACGCGTTATAAGCCAGTTAATAGTTTTGTTATTTTTTTTTACAATCCAAAGTATATTAATTTCATGTTTTATATTTTATTATTTTTGCGTTAATTTACACTTTCCGTACACAATTACAAAACTGTCAACTTCTATTTATTATAGGCCTCATATTTTATTTCCATTACACAGCATCTCCCATTATCGTATTTTGGCTACTTCTTTTTATATCTTATTTCTTATTTGAATTCGTTATTTGCTTTAGCTTTTTGCAGTTGCGTTACGTTTTCGCTTTTCCCCATTTTTTTATATTTACTTTTAAATGTATGTATGTATGTATGTATAATATTTGCACTGGTTTTCAATATCCTTTAATTGTTTGAAAATCGCTCCAGAATTTTTCTAGAGTTTTAAAAATTAGTCTGATGCATATTTGCAGGATGTCGACGTAGATGTCGAAGGCGCTGGTGGACTTGGTGATGCAAGCACACAGGCGGCCATAAATGCAAAGCGCAATGAGAAGGCATTTTTGGCAAGAATATGGGGAAATTTTGATAGCAAGTAAGTACTAGTTTTTATATTTCCTAAGTAAAAAAAAAATGCCAACCATTAATATTTCTCACCGGGCACAGTGGGAGCGTTTCATATAAAAGTTGCCCATAAATATTTTAGCAAAAATTTACTTACAATTTCAAATTGGTTTGTATTATAATAAGAACTTTGAAAAACGTTTAAATTGCAATATTTTAAAACAAACAAAGTTAGAATGCTCTAACTCGATATATAAGGATGTACATAATAATAAAAATAACAGATTGGCGCTTACACAATATTTTAGTGTTTGGCCGAGTATTACCTCCGATTTTTGGCGTGCTGCTTGATGTTGACTCCGAACGGCGATTGTATTTTTATGAGAAGCTGTTTTTCACGGCAGCATACACTTGTAGGTTTGCCATTGCCTGCCGAAGGGCGATTGCTGTTAGAAAAAAAAAAACTTGTTTACATTTTTCCCTGTGGTATGGTACTGTGCACTGCTAACCACTACACCAGAGCGGACGCCATACGTATGTGAATATGCATTTATGTGTGTGAAGTAAAAACAGGGGTATATGGTCATATTTTGGAAGTGGTGTTCCACCACCCACATATTTAGGGGATTCACAAGACGTGTTAACCGTCGTAAAATCTTAAGGTTAACATCTTTTTTAATTAAAATGGTTTTAGGGGATTTCTAACTAAACCGAAATTCTTTTAAACTGATAAAGAATATATAATTAGCCAACCCCCCAACCATTTTAACCGCTATTTTACATAAACAAGTGTTAAGCTTAAGATTTTACGACGGTTAACACGTCTTGTGAATCCCCTAAATATATATCAAAAACCTTTTAATTGAAATCAACCGAAATTGGCATGTGCATTGAAATTGCCAAAGAAACGCCATTTGCTGAAAATGGTTGAAATCGGCTTAAAACAACGCCCCAACTACCGCACGGTTGTAAATGAGAAGTTCCATAGCAAAACGCAATAATTGAACTTGAACAGTTTCTGAGACAATTAAGAAAATGTAATCGAAAAATGTTACGTTTTGATGTAAAACCATAGTTTTAAAGGCCATTTTATATGGGCCAGCCTAAACTGAGCCAAAAAGACAAGCGTTTTTTCAGCCAAGTTATTTGATTTTTTCATGTAAAATAAACCGATTGTAAGACATGTCATTCAAACTTAACATTGTAACTAAACGTGCAGAGGTGCTTGCTGGTATTTGTTAGCTTCCAGTAGGTTGAAGTCAGAGGCGACATTTAATTTTTTTTGTTTTTCTTAATTACGAAAAGGCATCTGTGAATTGAAGAACACTTTAAAACGACGAAGAAAATTTATTCAAGTTCAACATTTGAGGACGAATTTACAGAACGGCTGTAGCTGAAGGTCCCGGTTCAAATCCCAATTTGCAAAAAAGCATATGTGAAGTGCAGAACAGCGTATTCAAACGAAAAAATCGGCAACCAAAAATGTGTTTAATGTAAACAAATGCGTGGTTAATATCACCAAATCATTATTGCAAATATCAACCATGACATTGTTAATATTAAATAAAAATCACTTTGATTCCTTTTCAAGTTGAATTTGGTAATATGTATTAACTTTTATCGCTAATACATATGTAGATCATGAAATGTAGCAAGAGATTATCTCTAAAACCCGGGGAAAACACTGGAATTATTGCATTATGGAACTCCCCAAACAAACAAAGGCCGCGGGCATAATGGTATTTCTTTCTTTATTAACTCAAAATAAAATCAGCCTTGTTCGATGTTCTTAGTTCACTTAAGAATGCCAAAACGGCTTTAAAGTCCGAACATAGATTAAAATTAGGTAATTTTTTAAGAAAGCGCATTAGCATTGCAAAGTATAACCCAAATTTTGCAAAAAGCATTACATTTTACTTGTCGGAATCCACAACATACTCAGGATAGCCATTAGTTTACCCCAAGGCACATTGAGCAGGTAGTATCAGTAGAGCAGGTGATTTGATTTTTTATAAAATATTTGGTTTCGAAAATTTCAAATATTTTTAAATCTCACAAAAATTCTAAATTGTTAAAATCTATTTGCATATGAAACCTTTTTCCATACAAAACAATTGATTGAATAGATGCTTTTGGAACGATCGCCCAACTCAGCAGCACAACCGCTGATTACTGGGTCTTGCAAAAGATGGATCAATGCTTGGAGAAGTAAACAAATTTACTAAGAAAAGAAAATTGCAAAAATTATTATATTTTTTTCCAATTTCAATTTTTTATTTTTTTTTTGTATTTCACATGGCACACTTTGATTTAGAATAAAAAAAATTAAGAACAGTTTTTGACACTTTCGATACCAGAAGCAAGAACAAAATACACGCAAATGTTGTTTTTGTTCTAATGCTACTACCTGTTTGATATACCTTGATTTACCCTAAACTAATTTCGAGCCGCTGATTCCGAAGATATCCTTAGATTTTTCATTAGGCTATATAAAGGTTGCGAGTTTTCTATAACTTTTAACATACAAAATTTTAGACTCCTGCCGTAGTGCGGTCTGGTTAACGCGTACTTTAGGTTAGTTATGCTGGCTGACCTTGCGAGGTCTCACATAGACGAATATAACGTCCATAGCGGTAGCCGGATACTAGGCTTGGGTAGTTCTTGAACTAAATGAACTAAAGAACTTGTTCATCTCAATGAACTAGTTCATAAGTTCCGTCTTTTCAATTTCTAATTTTGGATCACGATCCAATTATTGTTGGCACGAACGTATGACGTGTATTCCCATTTTTAACCGACTTCCAAAAAAGGAGGAGGTTATCAGTTCGTCGGAATATTTTTTTTTTTTTTTTTTTTTATGTATGTTACCGCATAACTTTGGACCACGTCAACCGATTTCGATAATTCTTTTTGCATCGGAAAGGTAGTGTCTCAGAGGTGGTCCCATACTAATCTGGTTAAGATCCGATCAGCGGATCATGAGATATATATATATATATTTTTTTTTTATATGGGAGTTGAAGTCGGTTTTTTTTTGCTAAAAATTACTAGTTACAGATACGTTTTAAAGCGCTTTTGCATTGTTGCTACTTCAGTTCGTTGCAAACGAGTTTTTTTCAGGGCAGAGAAAATTCTAAACTAGCGTATAACGCTTTTAAAAGCAAACCAGCTTTCTAATTTAATGTTTTTGCATAGCAATATGTAAAGCTGGATTTTCGCTTGGAATTAAATGGCAAAAATTGTAATGACAAAGTTGGGCATTAAAAAAATTCTTGTCATTACCTTAAAAAAATAGTCATTAAATTTATTTCCACATGGCATTTTTTAAAGGCCTCCAATTTTTTGTAATTTCAATGCCAAGTGGAAATTCGGGATAAATGTTTACATATCGTACATACTATGTACATACATACTAGACTCCTGCGCAATTCCATTTAAACGGCCCAACNATTGCAAAAAGACGTAACAAACATCGTCGCGGAAATACAAAAAGTCGCAACTTATAAAAAATGCAAAATTCAGTTTTTGATTGATATGATGGATTTCATCGAATCACAACTCCCACATCATTTTATGAAAAAAATAAAAATAAAAAATTAGTCACGACTTTTTTCATTTAAGTTACGATGTTGTTACGTCTTTTGGAATTTCAGGGGACGATATTCTTGTATTTATGAATTTGTTTTTGTTCATATACTCGTTTATTTGTATTTTATTAATACGAAAAATATTAAATTGCTACGTATGTATGTAACTAAATATTTTTGTGTTATAAGAACAATGCTAAGACTGCATAATTTTTATGTGATTTATGTTCCTAAACATATTTATGTGCGTTTTTTATGTTTGTAAAAGTAATCCATGAATTTACAGTGATGGAAAAATAAATAGGGACTAATACTTAATATTTTTTTATAAAATTAAAGCTCATTATCTAACAAAAATCATATAAATTCATATTTCAAACTTTGTGCAAAAATTATAAAAATTCTGCAAAATTGTATCTAAATTTCCAACACTAATCATTTTTTTTAGAACTTTTTTGAGTATGCAATTTTATTGCCCATTGAATTTTAGTAGAATGAAGTGTAATGTTTAAGTTTCTAAAAATCACGTGGCAATTTTTTTAACGCATTTTCTTCCATACAAAGTATGTTCGACAATTTTTTTCATAATTTTTCCAGGTTACTGGGATATTGTCGTCGGTGCCACATTTAACGATTCCTGTAGAATTTGTTAGGACGAGGAAGTAATACAATCAGTTAAGTACTTCCTATGCACTTCATGTGGTATACGGTTCAAATTAAGTATTCCTGGAGTACTATTTTGTTGAGAACCTGGACAGCTTAGACTTTGCCCCATGACATATGTCGAAAGGTTCTTAGGGAAATCCTCTTCTGACCATCAAAATTGGTCTCTATGGACTCTTGACAAAAGCAGCTTATCATCGTTGAGTTATGGTTGTGTTCTCAATACACCAGATCTTTACTAGACCTTTATCCTGGGAATGTATAAGGCTGTTGCTGTTGCTGTGTAAAAATTGCGGTCGGCTATTCTATAGAAACTGCATTAAAATTCGAGTCGTTGACTTTCAAGAACTTTCTGCAGACAGATCGAAAAATATCTGAAGGTGGCACAACACCGAAATCGGTTTTTTCTCCAAACCAAATTTGCAGCTCTATCTTTGATTAGAACTAAAAGTCTAGTTTGACGTAAGGAGAAATGTGATGCTTTATTCATTGCCGAGTTTAGATCCAACATAGATGTGATGCTGATATAAATGTGGCTCAATTTGTGATCAACTATATTTGTCTTGGTTCATAATTAATTTAGGAAATTTTAATTGAAAGCACCGACAAATAAATTCATACCCAAACAAATCTTCGGTTATGGTTAAAACAGATCAAGTTTTTGTATTAAATTTTTTGTTTAAAATCTCTTTTCTGCTTTTTTAATAGGGTTTTTAGCATGTTTTCTTCTCCATGCCAATTGATCGTGAAAGATATGGACCTGAATAAGCGACTGGAACACGGCTGTTTGTTAAAAGCATACGATTTCGAACTCGTACATTTGCTAATGCGATAGCATGAACGCTCTACGAAAACATGCATACATATGTTCGAAAGTGCTAAATGTTGCATTTTAAATGCAGGACAAACGCTGCATTATTCTGGTCGCATTGCAAAATTTTTTTGTTACGTGGTCTAATGTACATACATATGTATGTCGATAGCATTTATATCGATAAATATGTCGATAAGAATATCGATAAATGTGTATATAACTATATCAATAAATATTTCGGAAGCGATAATGATAATTATTTCGGTAACGATATCGGAAAAACTTGATAACTATGTATATCGATAAATATAAGGACCATTAGTCCGATAAATATACATATTTATGTACCTAAGGCGATAAATATCTATAAATCTTCTTCTTCTTCTTAATTGGCGCTGTAACCGCCTAAGCGATTTTGGCCGAGTCCAAAACAGCACGCCAGTCATTTCTCTTCTGTGCTAACTGACGCCAATTNCTATAAATACATACATTAATATCGATAAATATGAGTACGTATCGATAACGATTTGTTTCGCAGCAAAGTTTCGCAATTTCTAACCTAAACCCACATACTTTTTGCTTCTTATTTCTTATATTTCATTTCAAATAATATATTTTCTTTTTCTCACACAGGTATATGAAACCATTGTTGACGCATTCGCGACCAACTTTACTTGAGACTTTACCAGTTTGTTGCAATCCCGTGGCGCGCTTACTCACCACAACCGAGCAATTAACTCAGGTATAAATAAAACGATCGACTAGTAGTGGCATAATAATTAAAAGACTACAAATTTTTTGCCCACTTGAGCTAACTAACAACTACCTATTCTTTATTTTTTATTATATTATTACAATCCTATTGCCATCATCACAAAAGCCACTAAGTGACATTTTTGAGTATATTTATTATTCCGTTAATTCGCTCTCAGATACCGTCTTAAAAGGGGCTTCAGTGGCTTTCATATATGAAAAATTTTATTTTTATTTTTTACTTGCGCTGCAAAGACATCAAAAATGTCACCTGATGGCGCAAATGCATAGTAAGCCATATGCACATACCTATTTACATACATACATATGTATGTGCGATTTTAAACTTTCATTTCCCCATTTCTTAACATCTCATTGCATGCAACTCGTACTTTTGGCTTCGGCTAATACATACCACTTGAATAACTTCACATGCAAACACATACAAATAAATACATGCCTGCCAACAACAAACATACATATATACATTTGTATGTACCCCGTAATTATCACAATGTCAACTCCAATTATGTTCGATTGCATTGCGACTCGTTAGGATGGTGGCGGTTTGCGACGCTCTGACTCAGATTCGGATATTTGTATTGATGATGAGAATTTTGGTGCGTCTTCAACGAATGGTAATGGCGCAGCTGGTGCCAATGGGGGCAGTGGTGGTTCCGGTGGTATGGGTCCGCGTCGCAACTCGATAAATCGTGTAAGTATACGCTTTGTCGCGGATGATCGCAGCCTCTTTGCTAGCTACAAAAATCGTGATTAAATTAAATATACATATGTACATACTTAACTTGTACTGACAAACTCGCACGTACATAAATACATGCATAGTGCATATGTACAAATGTGACAGATTTGGCGAGGAAATGTTAAAATAGATTGGTTAATGACATGAACTTTAGTGCTAACCAAATGAGAACTTTAAAAACTTTTGTTAGCATTTTTTTTTTTTTTTTTTTTTTTTTTTTTTTTTTTTTTTTTTTTTTTTTTTTTTTTTTTTTTTTTTTTTTTTTTTAATTGCGAAATTGCGTTATTGGATTTGAGTAATAGAAAAAGAAGTTATTAACTGACAAAAACGCTTATGCGTATGTATAAAGTATGTAGCAATTTTAGCACAATTAATATTTTTTCAAAATTTTCAAACCACTACTTTTTTAACCACTTATTCGGAGACATTTGGCAGTGCGGTCTGCGACATACTACTTACTTAGTTGTCATTGTAGTCTCTTAAAAATCCCATATTTTTTTGAATTGTACAAATTTTTCGTAACATTCGCTAACTTTTTCACTTGCTGTATAACAACAAATGAATAGGAGAAAGCACTAAAAACTATTATTTATAATTGAATTTAAAAAGAAATGGATTTTGTTATGTATTTTTTTAGTTTTATTTTGTTTGGATTTTATTAATAAAAATTTTATTTTTCTTATGAACTACCTTTTTGCGTTGAACGCAGCACATTTTCAATAATCTCGTAACAAACTTATCACCTACAACTTATGTACTTAACTTTATTCTGTTAATACGGTTAATGTTATTGTTATGTATTTATTGTTATATAAATATTATATATATTTTGCATGTGAAATAAAGCAAACATTAAAAATTAACCTAAATATGATTAAAACAATTTTCTTTTTTTTCATCTGCTGTATTTCTATATATTTTCTTTTCGAATAACCCACCACATATGGACACTTTGTTGTTAAAATTTGAACTTAACAATACTAAAATGCGAACATGTTTTACGTATTTATTATACTTGTATGATTTATTCAATTAAATATTATTTATATGAAACAAAAAACATATTTACAACTTGTAATAACCAAAAACACTAAACCAAAAACCAAAACTTACTTCGAATCTACGCTCATAGCAAGCGAATTTTTTAAATGAAGCTAACCAATTGATAACAGATCTTAGTTTAGTTACTAATAATTTTATGTAAAATAAAAAAAGAGTCTTATAGGTTAAACAATTGCTTAATTGTAAAATATTTCTTGTACTTGTATTCAAATTCACGTACACTATGGACCATGGTACATACAACACACACACATACATATGTATACGCATTCAAACCCCCTCGCACATACATAAGTATCACACCCAAGATCACTCGTGCATTGTATTTATTTACATTTCTCCACAGTTTCATATTAAAGCTAAAGCATTTCCCCGATAGAAGGTAGAACTTAAAAATAGTATCCGGTACAATATCACAGCTTCGCTTTCAGTCGCTGCGTTGAATCAACCCCTGCCTGTAATGAACCTCACCGAGGACAGTTCTGAAGAGATACGGGGTGTATGGACGCACATAGTGTACATTACACCGTACTAGAAAAAAATTATTCGTCGTACACCTTCGAAATTTTGTAACTGTATTTTGTGTAACCCAGCAGAAAATATTATTTCAGGACCACTTCAGGACTTGGTTAGGATCGTTTCGGAACTAGTTCGGCATCTTTCCGTGATCTGTTTAGGAGCATTTCGGGATCGTTTCGCTACCTGTTCAGGACCATTTTCGGACTATTTGACTAGTGCGGGATCATTCTGGGACTAGTTGTGGGCTATTTTAGTTCGCGTTATTTGCGGGGGTAGTTTAGGACCATTTCGGAACTGGTGGAGCACTCTTTCAGGATCATTTCGGTAGTAGTTCAGGACGATTTTTGGACTGGTTCAGAACTATTTCGGGATAGTTCATGACTATTTCTGGACCATTCTGTGGCTGGTTCGCGATCATTGTGCCACTGGTAAGGGACACTTTCAGGACGTTTCGTGACTTGTTCGAGATCATAATGTTCCGACAAGGCAACGACTTTTTTAGAACCACTTCAGCGATCAGTTCGAGATCATTTAGCTTAGTTGAAATTAGTTACGAAGTGATCTTCGATTCGAAGACAATTTCGAATATTTTACATTTTTTCGTCATAACTTTATAGTCGGATCTTAAAGTATGGTACGCCTTTTTTTCTGGAGGAGGGCTATCAGCTGTTTATAAAAGTCTGAAAAGTCGTCAGAACCCACAATAGAGTGTAGGAAAACTCTAAACTAACGGGAAAATAAATACAAAACGAAGGTAATGTGGGCACCAGGATATAAAAATAGTTTGGATTCTGCGAAGCGGATGAACTTCCATAGTCAAGTACATGCTTATCGACCGTAAACACTCACGAGGCGCATATATTGCAGGCATCGGGCAAGCTTTGGCTTAAGTTAGAGCTCCTCCACATCAAGCTTTTATAGCGTTGCGACTTTTGGCTCTCAGACCGTAATAAATATACAGCTTACGAGCTTAATAGAGTGCTGAAGCCTGAAAATCACTGAACGCCTGATAAACTTTGTAAGATGTTCCAGTCTTACATATGTATGTACTTCAACTGGGAATAGGAATCAATGCGGGCCACTGACTTCCGGAATGTACGGCAGCGGAATGGACTTTCTGGCATATGACTACTGTCGCAACTGCCGTGACGATGAAGAAATCGATGTACACTTGCTTTGCTACTTTTCGGGTCTGGGTAGATATGGGTTAAGATATCTCCATCAGTACTTTTTCAACGTCTGGCAGACCTGAACTACTCGACGAAAATATGCAAACTACATAGCTTCATTCGACAAATTTCAGTGGCTCTATACTAAGGTAAACTGTCGGAAGCAACATTAAGCCAATTAAACGATCCCCTTAGACCTACAAAAGTGTGCCTCCATGCGGTATATGGATGTGGGATGCCAACAAGTATCAAGAACGTATGTTTTTATGTAACAGTAATGCGAGTTTCACCCTCTATATTTTTGGAGTACCTACCGACGTGCCCAGAAATCTCGTGGCAATAATTCTGTGGTCATAAGCAATAATCGCCTAAGTCGAAAACCCTGAATTCGAGAAAAAACGTTTTAAACATTTGGATTGTAATGCTATCCTTATGGTGAAACCAAATTTGTTCGTTTCGTCTATAGCTTTTTAAATAGCCTAGCTGGCGAGATGGGGATTTCACATACACATGGAATAGTAGTTGCAGAATACTCATATCTTTCTTAAGTCGATTTAAGCAGTTATTGCTTACGACCACAGAATTTACAAAATAAATTAGGGATAATGCCCATTGAAGGATGAAAACATTGGTGAGCTAGTCTGGCCAACAATCCACTGAAGATCCCAATCAAAAGCAGTGCTGCGCCCACCACATTCGAGTTGCTCTGAACCTGTCAAAAGCGTATTTCATCTGTATTCGATTAGGTTCTCAATCGTCTCATTTGCTGATGGTTTCTGTGTAATGCTACCAGGGAACGATTTTGGCGAACAATAAGCAAGTTCTTGTGAATAGTTACATACATATATATGTATATACATATATCTCGGGAAGATAAATAGTTGTCAAATCCATGATCATTCTATTCACTACATCGAACGGAGAATGTGGGCCTCTCGAACTGGTCCTAAAACCCTATTTAATAAAACTGTTGGCCAAATCTCCGTACGCTGCAGCGTATGGGCGCCGACATGGTATGGGGCATAGCTAACAGCTTAACTTGCACGGTAATGCAGTATTCGAGTGTTAAGAAATCTTTACTTTAAATATTTAGAATATTTATGTGGTGTTTGAAGAGGGTTGCCACCTGTTTAAAAAGTTGATTTCAAATCGTTTAATAATTTCGACGATCATTAAAAGGTGTTTACCAACCGAAACGGGTTTATTCGAAACTTCATTTACAAGGGTTACCACTTATTTGAAAAATCAAGTTCAACTTAATTCATCAGTTAGTTGAAATGTTTATGCCAATGTCAAACGAAAGAGATTTAAGAAGATTTTAGTTTGAAAACACTCTTGAAAAGGGTTGCACCCTGTTCGAAACGTCGAATTTACTTAACTTGTATACAAAATATACATACATATATGATATACTTAAATAAGAGTGTCAAACGAATGAGTTGTATGAAAGCTTTAATTTGAGAATACATTTTATTAGGATTGCCAGCTGTGTACATACATGTGTATAAATATAATATGAGAAGACATTTTTTTGAAGGTCATCAGATCTGCACGGTTCTTTCGGATTTCAAAAACGAGATGTCAAATTAAAAAAGGGTGATTTGAAATCAGAGCAACCGATCCATGCGAGATTTCTCTCCACCCAGAAACGGCTGAACGGATTTAGATGAAATTTGGCACACGATTGGCTTATAACTGCGACTAACATTTCGAATATTCTTCAAGTTTTTGAAGAAGGTTGCCACCTGTTGAAAATTTTAAATCCAATTTTGGCGTTTTAACGCCATGCGAGTTCACTAGTAATATGAGATCAAAACACAACTTTTTTCTTCATAAATAAAGCAAAGCTAGGGATGCCATGAAGCTGACTTTGTAAACTCTCCCTTATTTTGGGAACCCTATTCCGGCAGCCTTGTATTTTTTTCTTTTATTAAGTTAATCAATTTTGTATTCATACATTTAATCTTTATTTAACCAATCTCTGTCTTTGCAAATTTTTACATAATCCCTCTTTTTAATCTCTTCTCAGCTACTAACCTGTATTTTTAATAGCCCTAGCTTTTTTAACAAATCACTTCTCCCGCAAGCGCACTTACGTTTTTAATTTAACATATTAATTTTTGTATTCCATGTTTATTTTCTTTCTTACTTGCAGAGTGAGAACAGTCTACGCGCCCAACATATATAACATTAGAAGCAAAAAAAAAGAGTAAAACCTGCGAGTGATCTTATCTCATTTGTTTGTAGGCAAATTTATGTGGGTTTTAACGAACTTCTCTGTATGTTTTGCTTGAGTTTGGGTTTCTGCACTATTTGTTTAAAAGCACCATATATAATTATGAATATAGTAAATAAAATTTAGTTTGAAGCTCTGTTTAGGTAATTTGAAGTTAAGAACGAAACAATCGATTAGCTACGATGTTATGTCCACCTATTACATACTACTTATTTATTTAACTGTAAAATAAGATACTTTAAATATTTACATATTCGAATACTATGAAAAAGTAAACGACAAATTGATTAGCCGTTGTCAACTTCCGTATTGTGATTTATTTGCTTAATAGTTTATTTAAATTTAAACTTATGTTGTTTGTCCAACTTAAATTATTGTAAAATTTTAAAATATCGTTAAATTCAAAATGTAGTAGACTCCGAGTGGGTTCGAAAATGTTTATTAAGTATTTTACAATAAATGTTCAACAAATTCTTTTAATGTAATTTAAAATTGATTATATTGCATGGGATCTTACGTTTTCACGTTATTTATCAAACAAAGGTGTTCGTCCTGTGATTTAAAAATTAAAGTTTATTAAAGTTTAACTTAAAAATAAAGTTTATTTCAAGGCAGACTTAATTATTATCCATTTGGCGTCAGTTGGCACTTGGGTGGTTACAGCGCCAAACAAGAAAAAATTAATATGGCTGTTAATTCTGGTTCCCATGTAGACAAAGTTAACTACTAAATACATACCTGAAAGTGATGAACGTCAATAGCACTGTGGGTATCTAGAAGAGCACGCGCTAACTACTTGTTTGCTGATAGATGCCAATTTCGGAAAATGGCAATTTGAAAATACAGGTTCCTCATTTTCAAATTAAGAAAAAATTGGATGAGCCGAATTAACGATGTTATCTGCAGTAACATTTACTGTCAGCGATCATGAGCAAAATTACAACAGGAAAAAATTAGTAGATATAAAATCCGCATTAAATGAGGTTCATCGAGCCTATCAACATTATATCGTTAAAACAACAGGTCTCTATGGGGAAAAACTCGATCATGTAAAACCAACTATCTTGTGAATGTGAATACACCATCCGCTAAAACAGACAGACTATACAACTATGGTCTATTATAGACAGGCCATTCATCGAGAATCAAACAAAACCTTCGGTCACTCTCACCCCTTGAATTCCACCATGGGATACCAACGACACCTATCGCAGACGAATAGCTCGAGTTGCTTATTATAGCAGGTTAAACCGTTCAGTAAAATTTGTATAAGATGCCCCTACGATACTAACTACCTCTTCATTTGCCCTCTCCCTACAGCTCAAACCCATCGGATCTGCCCTTTTCCTGAGCCTGTCATTAGATGAGAATGACGGCAACATAGTCCGATTCAGTGATTTAGGCTGAGTTTAGTAAGCTGTGACAATAAAAGAAAAAGATTTTCATACGGTTTTGCTTTAATTTTTATGTCATTTCCTGCAGTGGAAAATTTTCCAATACATATTGAGATATAAAATTATTAACGTTGCAGTTCGATTCTCAATAAAATAAGTATATACTTATTTAGAATGCTTAGATTCTAATACATATATAAAACACGGTTTATTCGATTGTAAAAATCCGGTTTACCAGCCATCGGTACTTTTCGCGCGGGAAAGATCAATGTTGGTTCATAATTCTCGAGAAACATTCGATCTGACGATATCGAATCCTCATCGACGATGCTATCTTTTTTCGAAATAATTTACAGCCTGTAGCCTCAATACTAATTGGGTACTTTGTGCATAAATAATCTAACGGGAAAATTGAATTGTTCATGGGACATTCGTTTTTATATTAACAGGTAGCACACACATATTTAACATATATATATATAATTGGGGTCTTCACACCGAGCTTGGTACTCGGTGACTCGGTGTTCGAAAATATTTCTCCATTTATTTTGTTTGTGTAAATTTATTTTATTATCGGCTTACCGATTATCGAATTATCGCTGTGGCAAGCTAGGTTGGTAATGAAAATGGGTGAAATCGGATCAAAACTACGCTTGCCTTCCATATAACGGTATTTTTGGAAAAAACGAAAACTACGATATTTAAGTAACTACTGCAGCCAAATTACTAAAATCGGATATATAGAGTGAACTTTAAGCAAAAAATTTAGTACTTAATAAATTTTTTTAAATGGGCGTGGTCAAGTCCAACTTATTACTGTTAGCCCCATTCAAAAATTCTTTGCAACTTTTTGACATTGGAAAATAAATATTGGTATTTTCGAATGGCATGGCTGAATTTAAGCTATATTTTAAATAAAAACAAGAAAATGAGTTGATATAAACGTGATAATAACTGTATTTGCATTGAATTCATGGGGTGTTTAAGCAAAATTAATATACATACGTAGCACAATAACTTACACACTAACTGAAATAAGCGTTCACATGTTGATTTTCTTTAAATATTCAAAATGTTTTTGAAGTTAAAATCTTTATGCTAATTTTCCATAAAAGTATTGTTCATGCTATCACTAAAACCACACAAATTAAAATGTCAAACTTTATAAAAAATGTAGAAAGACTTAACAAAATTTCTTACTTTTTAATAAATTCATGTCCTTATGGAAGAAAATGCGAAAGATCGTTCAGATATAAAATAAAAAAAATCAACGCGAATTTTCAACATCTTGAAGCTTGCCCTTTATCATACTAAAATTTCATATCATATTCATATAAAACTGCCAATATTCTATTCTATCAGATTAAGAAGTTAGAAATTTTGATGAAAATTTGTTGAATTTTCCTAAATTTTGTACAAAGTTTGAAACTTTAATTTATATGGCTTTAGTGATGCAGACTGTAATTTGGTAGCATGTTTTGGTAACAATACAACTTCTGTCACATCCAACCAGTTCGAATGCTTGCTTTTCACGTTTCTTTTATCCCATGAGCCTCTTTCCAAAACCGTCGAAGCCTTTTACATATATTTTTGAAGCGCAAATCAATATCACGAGTTTTCACATTTTCTAAATCTGGCAATGCCTCTAATAGATGTCCCAAAACTTTCTAATTTTTTCCACTTCTGTCTCAATCAGGAGGTATCACAACTCAAACACTTCATTCCTTGAAAAGGAACAGATGTATGAATTACCTGTTTGCTAATAAAAAAACTAATTAATTTTTTTTAACAAGCTTTTATTATTTGTGTGTTGGTGTTGGTTGATTTTTCCGACAGGGTGGTAAGATGATTTATTTTGGAACGAATTTCCGTCATCCCTTGTCAAGTTTGGTTTGCAGACAAACCGGTATCGGCATTGTGCCATCTTCAGTGTCATTTTTCGTTCTCGGAGAACGGAAAGTTTGTCTGCAAACCAAACTTGACAAGGGATGACGGAAATTCGTTCCAAAATTAATCACTTTTATTATTTGTTAAAAAAAATAAATAGTTAAATATACTGCAAAATTTCTTGTGTAGTTTTTTCTTTTCATCTAAGTAATACACGTTATCAATATAAACCAACTCGGACCATAAATACGGGTTTTCAAATATCTCGACACCCGCGCCACCTGGCGGATTCATCTTTCATATTGCATTGTCATCGGGTTCTGAGCGAAGTTTGTAGTTTCAAGTCTATACCTCATCGGGAAGTTGGTTAAAATGTATTTCATGATTTGATTACACAGGTGAAAGGAAATAAAAGCTTGTAAAAAAAATATATTTAGTTAAAGGTTCGGCTAGTAGCAGGCGTATATCAAATAACCGTGCAAAAATGTGCAGCTAAAAGATATATTATTTTAATCTAAATCTATAAAAAAATCTTAAATAAAATAAGGCGCTGAGTGGCAGGGGTTTTAAAAGTTTATGTAAAAAAAAAATATTAAAAAAAATTAATTAAGGCAAAATAGACTTGGCTTAGAACCGAAATACATATGTAATACAACTTCTAATAAATATTAATAATTATTGTTCTAAATAGGATCACTTACCTTTGTCTTGAATTTGCATTACTGAGTTTCTTGAATGAATTCTGCGTTTTTTCATAAAATAAATATAAAAAAGTTAGTTTCTCTAAAAGCTGCAGGTTTTGAGAGTTCTATAAGTTGTCGAAATCGGTACATTCTCAAGCTTAAAGTGGTCCAACGAGCTGGGATACTATCGATAGTACCGTCACTCGATAGTTTTCGAAACGATAGTTGAAAACATCGATAGTATCGATAGTACTATCGTCCTGAGAGGTATTGAATTAAAATGCTAAATTGCTTGAAAATTTAATAAATAATAAATTTATAAAATTTG